TTTGTGCCATCCCAGCAGTGGTTCTTCACCCTGGCATGGCATCTGGTTTCTTTATTTTGCAATCCCAGAACAAGGCTCATCATGCCTCGTACTGGCAGAACGCAACAGGGAGCTGCAGGAGAAGGTGGTTTCCAGAATCTCAGCACAAACCCGGAAGCTGAGGGTGGGTTTGGAGCTGATCAATATCTCATATCAGTACACCATCTGACTGCAGGAATTGCCAGAAATTTAAGTGCCAGAGTATCCTATGTGTGACTTTTTTCCTGCCAGTAATTCTACAGCATCCGATGGTTTGTTGGAATTTTGTTTGGTTTCTGTTTTGTTTGCATATGTTTCATTCAAGTCATTTTTTCCCTTTTTTTGAGATGCAGTCTGGCGCTATCGCCCAGGCTGGAGCACGGTGGTGCGATCTCAGCTCACTGCAACCTCTGCCTCCCGAATTCAAGCAATTCTCATGCCTCAGCGTCTCAAATAGCTGGTACAGGCACCTGCTATCACAGCTGGGTAATTTTTATGTTTTTAGCAGAGAAGGGGTTTGACCATGTTGGCCAGGCTAGCCTTGAATTCCCTACCTCAGGTGATCCACCCAACTTAGCCTTCCAAAGTGCTGGCATTATAGGCGTGAGACACTGTACCCGGCCCATATTATTTTATTAAAAGTTAATTTCCTAGTTTAAATGAGTGTCTATTTCGCCATATGCTTGACATCACTGGGTGCTCCTTTGTTTCTTTTTATGCTGAATATACTCTTTGGCACCAGTTTTGGGTCTCCTGCAAAGTAGAAACTGCTACTTCATTAATCTAGCTGTATTTCTTTTTTCTCTTTCTTTCCTTTTTTTTTTGGATACAGGGTCAAAAAAGGCTGAAGTGCAATGTCACGATCACAGCTCACTGCAACCTTGACCTCTTCGGCTCAAGTGATCCCCCCATCTGAGCCTCCTGAGGTGCTGGGACTACAGGCACGCACCACCATGCCTGGTGAATTTTTAAATTTTTTGTAGAGTCAGGCCACCTCACTATGTTGCCTGGGTGGTCTGGAACTCCAGAGCTCAAGTAGCTAGTCTCCCAAAGTGCTGAGACTATAGGCATGAATCACTGTGCTCAGCCTTGTATTTCAATCAATCTAAGATACCATTAATTATAAAATGAACCGTTATTTTACATACCACTGAGAAAAGGAAAATACTTCCAATTATGATACTTTTCTTTTTTCTTTTTTTTTTTTGAGATGGAGTTTCACCATGTTGGCCAGGCTGGTCTCCAACTCCTGACCTCAGGTAATCCACCGGCCTCGGCCTCCCAAAGTGCTGGGATTATAGGCATGAGCCACCATGCCCAGCCAAACTATGATACTTTTCTAATCACTTATTTTTAAAAAAGTTACTGAAAGAGCTTTTAGATTTAGACATATTTACAGCATATCTTTATTTACTTAGAAAAATATAAGCAAAATAAGTTGATCCAGGGATTCCTAAAACGTCTTCATACCCTTGTAATATTCAGTAACACTAACTCAGTCAACAATATCCATACTTTTCTATGCAACTCTGTCCTTTGTGCCATCAAACATGTTAGTGATACAGCATTAAAACAAAAAGGCCGGT